TTGTAAATGACAGCTTTGCAGGATAGAGTAATTTTGGTTGTAGGTTCTTGGTTTTCATCACTCTGAATATTTCTTGCCACTCCCTTCTGGCTTGCAAAGTTTCTTTTGAGAAATCAGCTGACAGCCTAATGGGTACTCCCTTGTAGGTAACTAGCTGCCTTTCTCTTGCTGCTTTTAATATTCTCTCTTTGTCTTGAACCTTTTGCATTTTGATGATGATGTGTCTTGGTGTGGGCCTCTTGGGGTTCATCTTGTTTGGGACTCTCTGTGCTTTCTGGACTTGTATGTCTGTTTCCTTCACCAAGTTAGGAAAGTTTTCTGCCATTATTGTTTCAAACAGGTTTTCGATTTCTTGTTCTCTCTCTTCTCCTTCGGGCACCCCCAAGATGCGAATGTTGGCACGCTTGAAGTTATCCCAGAGGCTCCTTACTCTATCCTCATTTTTTTGGATTCTTTTTTCTTTTTGCTCTTCTGATTGGGGATTTTTTGCTTCCTTATATTCCAAATCGATGGTTTGCTCCTTGGATCTACATACTCTATTATTGAAGCTGTGTAAATTATTCTTTATTTCAGTTAATGCCTCCTTTAATTCTAACTGTGTATCCATGATTTCTAACTGGTACTTTTTTATGCTCTTGATGCCCTCCCTAAGTTCACTGAGGTTCTCACTAAGTTCATTGAGCATCCTTATAAGCAGTATTTTGAACTCAGTATCTGTTAGGTTGCTTATCTCCCTTTCGCTTAGTTCTTTTATTGGGGTTTTGTTCTGTTCTTTCATTTGGGACCTGTTTCTTTGTATCCTCATTTTGGCTGCCTCCCTGTGTTTGTTTCTGTGTATTACTTAATGAGAGGTATGGGGCTCGCTGAGACCTGGTGCTGCTCGTTTGAAAGAATTTAGGAAAAACCTGAAGCAGGATCCAAGACCGGCCAATCCTATGGTTAAGCAAGTGGCAACAGCTTGAAAGTTGTGTGGGGCGGGGCGGGGCCTCAGGGAGTCAGCAGGGCGGGGCTACGAGTGTGAGCCAAGTTGCTGGAGTCCCAGATATGGCTTCTGTCTGCCGCCCCCGGGAAGGGCTCACCAAAGGAACAAAGGCCTCTGACAGCACGTTTGTCCCCGAGGAAGCCCCCTCTCCAGCTCTCGCTCCAGTGCCAAACAGCTCAGTTCTTCCCTGTGTGTCTCTGGTGCCCCTCGAGCTTCCTCCCCTCCGAGCTTAGAGGGAGAGAGTCCGATAAGTCCGTGCGCGGGGCCCTTTAAGGAGCTGCCTGGGGCTCCAGCCGCTTCAGCTTCCCTGAGCCTCAGTTTCCGCTGGTTTTTCCAGCCAGAAGTTATAGGGACTTATCTTCCTGGCACTGGAACCCTGAACGGGACACCTGGTGTGGGACGGGGACCCCTCAGTCCTCAGGAAGGACCTTCCCAGCCGCGGGATCCTCCTGATTTTTATCCACCACGCTTGGGTGTGGGACCAGCCCGTCTCGCCGCTGCACCGCCGCTGCGCCGCCGCCCCCCCTCGCGCCGCCGCCCCTCCTACCGGTCTGGATGTAGCTGCTTTTTTTTTTTTTTTCCTTAGTTCCGTAGTTGTACGACTTCCATTCAGCTTGATTTCAGGCGGTTTTGAATGATGATTGTTCTGTAGTTTAGTTGTAACTTTGATGTGGTTGTGGGAGGACGTGATACCGCGTTTACCTACGCCACCATCTTGACCGGAAGTCCAGATCCTTGTTTTTCATGATCTTGATTACTTCATGCCATTCCCTTCTGGCCTGTAGTGTTTCTTGTGAGAAGTCAGCTGAGAGCCTTATGAGGTTTCCTTTGTAGGTAACCTGTTGCTTATCTCTTGCTGCTTTTAGGATTCTCTCTTTGTCTTTAATTTTTGGCAGTTTGATTACTATGTGTCTTGGTGTGGGCCTGTTTGGGTTCTTCTTACTTGGGGCTCTCTGTGCTTCTTGAACTTGAATGCCTTCTTCCTTCATCAAATTAGGGAAGTTTTCTGTCATTATTTCTTTGAATATGTTCTCTAACCCTTGCTCATTTTCTCCTTCTTCGGGGACTCCTATGATGCGAATATTATTACGTTTCCAGTTGTCCCACAGTTCTCTTAAGCTGTCTTCCTGTTTTTTAATAGTTTTTTCCTTTTGGTTTTCTGATTGGTTGATTTTTTTCTACCCCGTCTTCTAATTCACTGATCCAGTCCTCAGCTTCCTCTACTCTGATTTTTAGACCTTGCAGTGTGTTTTTCATTTCTGATATGTCACTCTTGATCTCTTCTTGGTAGTTTTTAATTTCCAATTGGTTTATTTTCAGCATCTTTATGTCCTTACTCATACTGTTGAGCTTCCTCAAGATCATGGCTCTGAATTCTAGTTCTGTTAACTTGCCTAACTGCTCCACATTGATCATCTTCGGAGGAGGTCTCTTGTTCTTTCATTTGACTTCTGTTTCTGGTTTTCACCATTTTGACTATCAAAGTGGGCTTTGGAGCCTGTCAAGTGTTTCCTGTGGGTGTTGGTGTTCTGTTGTTTGTGGCTCCCTCTCCTAGGTGTAGATGAGCGAGGGTGAACCCATGTTAAACACCACTGTCAAGTCTTACTTTCCTGGTTAAAGTTGCTCGCAGGAAAGGTACTGTTATCCTTTAGTTTTTTGCATGGAGGCTAGCAGTCCAGGTTACTTGAAGAGTTTTGGGTTGTGAGTTGATTGAAAAACTCCCTCAGGTGCTCGGCATAAGGGGATTTCTGGAGGGTGGGGCAGATGCTGGTTTTTAATGAGCCTCAATTAGCATTTCAGTGGCCCACAGGGTGGGGTTGGATCTCTGAGGTAGGGGCTGCTGCTTCTCCCCAGAGCCCTGGGAAGGAGCAATATGGCCACCTTCCTGCGGGGCAGCAACTCAGCAAAAGCTCTGAGCGCCCTCCAAATCCCGTGTCCATACACAGTTCCAATCCAGTCTGCCCTCCCTCTGCCGGAGCCCAAGGTGAGTGGCTGTGGCTATTTTAGCCTCTGTCCCGGCTCTTCGCTGTGGAGTTGCTTGGGAGTATAACCCAAGGGCGCTGCTCCCAGCTAAGGCCGCTGCTGTCTGTGGGCTCCCAGCCCCCGTCTCACGCCTTTGCAATCCTACCAGGATCGAGTCAGTGTCCCTGGTTATACGGTCCTTGCAAGCTGCTTTTCTGTTGCTTTTTCCCGTTGATTTCTCTGTGTTATAGTTGTAATTTCAGTTTGGTCCTGGGAGACGGTCTGTGTAGCTTCTATTCACTCTGCCGCCATTTTGGAATGTCTGTCATTTAATTTTCTAATTATGATTTATGTTGTCTTAAAGCTTCTTTTAAAAAAATTAATTAATATGTTACAGATATCCTCCCTCCTCATTGACACCTTCCTCCCCGATCCCGTCCCACTCTCACCTTCACAGTATTGTTGTCTGTGTCCATTGGTTATACATACATGCATATAAGTCTTTTGGTTATCTCCCCTCTCTCTCCACCCCCACCCCCAACCGAGGTTTGTCAATTTGTTCCCTACTTCCATGTCATGTCTCTGGGTCAATTTTGTACATCAGCTTATTTTGTTCATCATGTTCCACAAATAAGGGAGATCATGTGATACTTGTCTTTCTCTGACTGGCTTATTTCGTTTAGCATAATACTATCGAGGTCCCTCAATGTTATCTCAAAGGGTAAGAGATCTTTCTTACAGCTGCATAGTATTCCATTGTGTGAATGTACCATAGCTTTTTTATCCACTCATCTCCTGATGGACTCTTGGGCTGTTTCCAGACCTAAGCTGTTATAAATAGTGCTGGTATGAACATAGGGGTACATGTAGTCTTTTTAATTGGTGTTTCAGGATTCTATATTCCTAGAAGTGGAATCAATGGGTCAAATGGAGTTCAATTTTTAACTTTTTGAGGAAACTCCATATTGTTTTCCATAGTGGCTGCACCAGTCTGCATTCCCACCAGCAAGTGTACTAGAGTCCCCTTTTCTTCATATTTCTGCCAGCACTTGTTTGATTTGTTGGTGGCTGCCATTCTAGCAGGTATGATGTGATACCTCATAGTAGTTTTAATTTGCATCTCTGATGATTAGTGATGTTGAACTTTTTTTCATATTCCTCTTGGCCATTTGTATGTCCTGTTTGGAGAGGTGTCCTTTCAGGTCCTCTGCTCATTTTTTAATTGGATTGTTTATCTTTCTTTTGTTGAGTTGTATGAGTTCTCTATGTATTTTGGAAATTAACCCCTTATCTGATGTATCATTGGCAATTATGTTCTCCTTAAATCTTCTTTTTCATACTTTGGTTTGTTCCATAATATTAGCTCACAGTTTTTATCTCCTGTATCTTCATTTTTTATAGATGGGCTGTCCATGTTGTTATTCTCTTTTTCTTACAATATCATTATATTCCGTTTGATAAAGAGCTCTTTTCTGTGGCTCATGTTAATTTTCTATGCATTTTAAATATATTATATAATATTAAAATTGTATTAGCTCTGATGATGATAAGCTCGGACTTACAACCTATAAAATTATAAGTTGTTGTAAATTAGGTACCATATCTTTTTCTTTAGCAATATGTTATACTTAGGATAGTGGTCTGTCTGGGTCAGCTGCCACTGACACCATGCTTTCCTCTATAGTCTGGCAATCTCAGCTATTTGTTAATTATATCTGCATTGTAATGTAATGTTTTTGTAATGTTGAGCTATTTCATTGGATATCTGTAATAGAAAGATAAGTATTTTAAAAAAATATGCACTAAACGAAGGGGGGAGGGAAGAGGGATATCTGCAGTACATTCAACAATAAAGATAAGTTTTTAAAAAAAGAAATAAACATATAAATCTAAAAAAAATATATGTACTGAACAGATTTTGGAACTGAGTTTGTGTTTCCCTTCTTTCCAACAAAGCAACCTAATTACTGTGTAGGATTAGTAGTGCTACTTGGTATAGGATTGTTTGTGTTAATTAATTAGACCTGATATGCTGTTGCTTTTTCTTTTGTTTTAGGTTAAATGGAAACCACCCTTGGGAGCTGGATGCCTGTGTAGCCTTTCTATCATATCAGTGAACTGCAATGAGTGGAGGAGGAGAGCAGCCGGATATCCTTAGTGTTGGAATCCTGGTCAAAGAAAGATGGAAAGTGGTGAGTATACATGAGAGAGAGAGAGAGAGAGAGAGAGAGAGAGAGAGATATTGATTGATTTGAGGGTAATTTTTGGTGTCTTGATTAAAAAAATAGCAGTTCATTACAGAATAATACATATATTGCATGGTAAATAAGTTATTTTCCTTTGTTTTTTTGCCTATAAATAAGTTTGGTTTATGCCCTAATTCTTACTTTTGCTTTATATAATAAGTAAGTTTTTCTAACCTCTGATAGCTAATATTGAGTAAGGTAAATAAAAGTGTACTTAGAGAAAAAACAAATGAAAAAATATATAGTATAATGAACTTCTTTCTTTTTTCTTTTTAAACCTTTTGTTAAGGAAAATTGTAAGTATATATAAAAATAGCAACACTGATACAGTGAACCTCCATGTACTCATGCTCCAGTTAAAACAGTTATCAGTTTATAGTCAATCTTGTTTCATCTTTTTAACCTCCCTCCCAAAATATTTTTAAATATATATTTTTCCTTAGCATTTTTGGTATGTATTTCAGTATGTATTTCTAAAGCAGCAGTTCTCAACCTGTGGGACATGACCCCTCTGGGAGTCGAATGACCTTTTCACAGGGGTTGCCTAAGACCATTGGAAAACATATATTTCCCAATGGTCTTAAGAACCGAGACACCGCTCCTCTGTCTCCAGGCGGGTCCGCCCACATTCCGATACGCCCACATACAGTCTGAGGAACTGTATTAAAGGATTGTGGCATTAGGAAGGTTGAGAACCACTGCTAAAAGATAAAGGCTTCTTTTAAAAACAGTCATATCATTATTACACCTAAAAAAGTAACAATTTCTTAATATCATTAAGTATCCTTCCAGCTTTCACATTCCCCTGCTTGTTCTGTAAATTATTATTGTTGTTATTCTTTTATTGAATGTATTAAGATGACATTGGTTAATAAAATTACATAGGTTTAAGGTGTACAATTCTATAACACATCATCTGTATATTATATTGTGTGTTCATCACCCCAGGTCAAGTCTCCTTCCATCACCATTTATCCCCTCTATACCTTTTTCTACCTCTCCCCAGACCCCTTCCTCTTTGATAATCACCATGCTGTTGTCTGTGTCTATGAGTTTGGTTTTTTTTGCTTAACCTTTTCACCTTTTTCACCTAGCCCCGCAAACTCCCTTCTGACAGCTGTCAGTCTGTTTCATGTATCCATGCCTATTTCTGTTTTGTTTGTTAGTTGATTTTGTTCATTAGATTCCACATATGAGTGAAATCATATGGGACTTGTTTTTCTCTGACTGGCTTATTTCACTTAGCATAATGCTCTACAGGTCCATCCATACTGTCATAAAGGGTAAGATTTTTTTTTTTATAGCTGAGTAGTATTCCATTGTGTAGATATACCTAAGCTTTTTTATCTATTCATTTACTGACGGGAACTTGGGCTGCTTCCAATATTGGCTATTGTAAATCACGCTGCTTTGAACATAGGGATGCATACGTTCTTTCTGATTAGTGATTTGGGATTCTTAGGATATATTCCCAGAAGTGGAATCACTGGGTCATAAGGCAGTTCCATTTTTAATTTTTTGAGGTAGCTTCATACTGTTTTCCGCAGTGGCTGCACCAATCTGCATTCCCACCAAAAGGGTCCTATTTTCTCTACGTTCTCACTAACACTTGTTTGTTGATATATTGATGATAGCCATTCTGACAGGTGCAAGGTGATATCTTATTGTGGATTTTATTTGCATTTCTCTGATGATTAGTGGCATTGAGCATCTTTTCATATGTTTATTGGCCATCTGTATGTCCTCTTAAGAGAAGTGTCAGTTCAGGTCCTTTGCCCATTTTTTAATTGGATTGTTTGTTTTTTTGTGTGTTATTTTTAAAATGCTTACCTGAGGATCTTTTTTCATTTATCTTTCGGATATAGTGGGAAGGAGGGAGGGAGGGTGGGAGGGATGGAGGGATGGCGGGAAAGAGAGACATCGATATGAGAGAGATACACCGATTGGTCACTTTCCACTTGACCCTGACCAGGGCCGGACCGAATGGCAGCCATGGTATATGCCCTTAACTGGAATTGAATCCATGACTCTTTGGTCCACGGGCTGACGCTCTAATCACTGAGCAACCTGGCCAGAGCTGGTGTTAAGTTTTATAAATTCTTTATCAATTTTGACTCTTAACTCCTTATCAGATATATCATTGACAAATACATTCTCCCATTCACTGGGTTGTCTTTTCATTTTCTTGATGGTTTTCTTTGCTGTGCAAAAACTTTTTAGTTTGATATAGTCCTGTTTGGTTTTATTTTGTTTTTAATTCTCATCAAGGATATTTTTCTATTTATCTTCAGATAGAGTAGGAGGGAGGGAGAGAGGAAGGGAGAGAGACAGACACACAGAGAGAAACATCGATGTGAAAGAGGCACATCGACTGGTTGCCTCCCGCAGGACCCTGACCAGGGCTAGGGACAAATTGCAACCAAGGTACATGCTCTTGACCGGAATTGAACCCGCGACTCATTGTTTTGCGGGCTGATGCTCTAACTGCTGAGCCAAACCAGCCAGGGCTCAGAAAAATATTTTTTAATGGTTTGAATTAAATCCAAATAAAGTCTGGATATTATAATTGATGACATCATTTAAGCTTTTTAATTTTTAGGTTCTTGTTAATCTTTTTACTTACTATTTATTTCTGGAGAAACTGGGTCACTTGCTTGTACAATTTTCCATGGTTTGGATTTTTCTGATTGCTTCCATGTGGTGTTAACATTTTTCTCTGCCATGTATTTTATGTAAATTGTTAATTCTGTATAGAGGCTTGATTAAATCAGATCTAATCTGAAGTGGGGACTTTTTTTTTCATAAAGGGTACTGTAAACTTTTAGTAGGAAGCACATAATTAATTAATGTCTTATTGCCCATCATTTTTGTGGTGTTACTACTATGGATCATCATTGTCTAGCTCTGTTAATTCCTTAGGGATTGCAGATTGGTGATATTCTAGAATTCTTTCATTTATTAGTTAAAGTACATCTCTAAAGCTAAATTTCTCATAATCAACTATTTGATTATTTGAGATATAATTAGGAAAACAGGCTAAATGCTTGGTTATTTTTCTTAATTTGCCAGTTTTCAAAATAATGAATTGCTTCCCTAGCATAATCTGAAAGTGACCAATGAGATTTTTTAAAACATAACTAAGAATTCATGGACTCAAACAAATTGAATGGGTTTTAGTTCATTGTATTTATTATCATTATTTATGCTCAAATTGTCTCATTTGACTAAGTGGGGGCACCCTTCAAGTTGTCTCCTGAGTTCTTTTAACATGATTCTAACAGTCTTTTGATGGTTTCTTTGCCCTAGACTTGGAATCTGCCATCTCTGCTCCTCTTAAGGGAGCTATTTTTGTTTTGGAATATTTAAGTATATCCAAGTCTTTTTTTACCCAAGGTTTTGTTTCATTAGCAGGTTTAGCAAAGCTATTTTAGGGGATTCCTTAATCTGTCAACACATGGGAAAAAGAAGATTCTTCCTTTATAAATAAAAATTTTGTTTTCATGGTACAGTTGATTAGGCAAATCAATAAGCTTTGAAAATTTACTTGAGTAAATATAAGAAAAGAACCATGTCATCATCATGGGCTGGTGCAGGGAGATTCTAGCGTTTGTAATCTTTGGTGAACCTCAGGAGTGAGTGTTACTGTGGTGAGAGCTTTGTAATAAGTGCTGCAGTAAAGGTTGGCTGTTCACCAGGAGACATCAAAAGATGGCAAATGAAGTTATGCCTGGCATAGTTGCTCTTTCCTGATAATTAGAGCTAATATATATGTATGAAACATGTCACCCAAATTTGGGAGATACAGTGGCAATTTCAGTGAGAAATCACAGGCTCATTAAGGATTGTGTTTTGGTTATCTACTGTTATGTAATAAACTATGTACATCAAAACTTAGAGGCTTAAAACAGGAATTCATTTTGCTCACAATTTTGTGGATTAGGAATTTGGGAAGAGTCAGCCTGGGTGGTTTATCCCTTAGCCATGTGCTACTATCAGGGTTGGCTGAGTTGGAGGATTCACTTCCAGATGGTTTGTTAGGTGCCGTGGGGATCCTTAGTTTCCTCACCTCCCAACCCGGTGGCTCATTTTTCTCAGACTGCGTCACAGGGCTATGACTTAGGTAGCTGGCTCTTGAGAAACAAGTTAACAGAAGCTATAAGGCTGGTTAAGCCATTATTAGAACTGGTGCAGTGTTACTTTGCCACGTTCTGTTGGTTAAAGCAGTCACAAGACCCATACAGATTTAAAGGGATAGGGAAATGAACTCAGTCTCTTGATGGGGAAGTGGCAAGTTCACACTGACAGAGCAAAAATGATGGGCAATATTGTTGTGGCCATCTGTAGAAAACACAATCTGTAGTCCATAATTAGAAAGATGTTCCTGTTACTTTTTAAGAGTTTTTAAAGTTATACTAGACTTTGTTTAATGAAAAAAAATATAAAGACTAACAAGTACCAATCAATACCCAACAAAGAACAATTTATTTAACCAAAATTAAGCTCTGGAAATTTTTTTAAATCCCAATCTCATACCAGAGTTCCTCATGGAATCTCTTCCCATCACCAAACCAGAATAAAGAAGGATTATGGTTCATATACATAAAGCAATGAATTGTTACTTAGCAATATGGGGGTGGGGGACGCAAAAGTAGCTTTACAGTTATGAGTACATGAAACACAGTTTATTCTTGCATTATTATTAATTATTGTATTATTTTCTATACAGAGAACTGTAAACCTACTTTTGTCCTACCCTGTATATATCGTTATCACTTTGCCATGTTATGGGGAAAACAAAAATAGATGGAATGACCTTCATTTTGAAGCTTAGTTTCACTGTAGGGAGCTAGGACATTGACAATGGAAAGTTGGAAAGTTACGCAGTGTAAAAGATAAAAAAATGAGGATGGTGTGTCAATACAAGTGCTATCTGAGGTATGTAGCCTAGTAAAATAATTAATGAAGTGATTAAGCAAATAATTCCTATAGAAATTCAGAAGATAAAGAAATCAGCCTAGATATAGTAATCAGTATTGACCCAGTAGAGAAAAAAATGCAACTTGAGGTGAGGCCGCTGGGGTGGGTTAGGATTTAGGACTCTACCTCCAGTGATGACTTTCTACATTGTAGCACATTCTAGATGTTTGATAATGTGGTAAAGAGAAGACCTAGTTTCAGGAAATGGAAGAAGGCTAATTGCATGTTGTTTCTAGCTTGAAATATATCACCCACCTCCCTCTCACTCCAGTTTCTCATAACTGTACAGGTCCAGTTGTCACTAGCTTTACAGAACTTGCTCGTAATACTAAGAGACCTTGATATTAAGCTAACATGTTTTATCAGAAAGAATATTAAGTGTTTAATGAAAGTGTTTAATTTGATTACAGTTTACTCTTATTTGAGCATATAGACATATAGTGAACTCTGGAATAGTTTAGAACAGGAGCTTTCTGCATGCTCTTTGGAGCCTGTTCAGTGCCTCAGAGAAAAGGGTCAATGCTGCAGAGGTCTGGACTCTGGCTGCCCTACTCCCACCTTCAACCTCTCCAAATACACATCTCAATCAGGTTCCAGATAAGATTTCGATTGCAAAAATATTTCATGGTTTAAAAAGTCTTCAAATGATTGCCTTAGAATTTAAAACAACGAATCGGGTTTTTGAGAGGCATTCGTGGGAAGTGAAGCTTTCAGATACTGTGCTTTTATGACAGTTCTGGTGCTAGCTATAGACCAAATTTTAAAATTGTTTGTGGCTGAAATATTTTTATTATTTTTTGTGGACAAACTTATTGGGAAAAGTTCTGATGTTGTTTCTAGGCATTTGTTTTCTTCTTGGCATATTCATGGCTAATTTAACAATTTTGAGATCTTTTTATCATAAAATAGCAATAGCAAAATTATATATATATCTTCTAAATATCAGAGACTAATTGGTTTCCAGTTAGAATCTTCTAGTAATTTTGTGTGTGTTTGTTTTTATTTCTTATGCAGTTGAGGAAGATTGGGGGTGGGGGCTTTGGAGAAATTTACGATGCCTTGGACATGCTTACCAGGGAAAATGTTGCACTGAAGGTAGAATCAGCTCAACAACCAAAACAAGTTCTGAAAATGGAGGTTGCTGTATTGAAAAAACTACAAGGTAAGTTGCTTTGTATGATATACCAAACAATTTATAATTCATTGTTTTCTTTCTGAACTTCAGTTACATTCTCTATTAATTGAATATTCTGGTGTCAGATTTGTATAAACATGCTGAGAATTTTTCTCTTGGAAATTTTATTACTAGCTAGTAATAGTAGAAATACTGATTTCGTAGAATAATTGGACTTTGGCAGTTGGTTTTCATGGTGAGTAGGAATGAAAGAGAGTGAATTACCAGAAACATTTTGTTTTAGAAAGTGTTTTCATAAATCTGTTATGGTAAAATTTGCCTTAAAAAGCAACCACCACCAGACATATATAACTCTGAGTTGTTTCTACTCATATCTTTGGATGTTAAACGTGCTTTAATCACATGACGGAAACTGCTTTCAAATCACACTGCAGGATGGAATGGAAATAATGCTATTTGTTTTATGTTGATTTCATTAATTTCAGTTTCATAAAATAACTCATCCTGGTCCCATCTTTATTTTTGAGGTCCCTTTACTACTTGGATTCCTATTTTTTTTACTACAAGGATAAATAATTTTTTTTCTGATATCAGTCCAGTGATTTAAACTCTGAATATATTGCTAGTTTATATTCATCTTTGCATTTTCAGCTTACTGACATATGATATGGTATTTAAATGTTGTATCTGAATCAAAATTAAATAGGAGTGATTAGCACATTAAGTGATCTTGTTAAGCTGTAGAAGGTTTGATGTTGTTATGAGACATTCATTAGTATCTAAAGGAATTTAGTACTAATATGTAAGGCAAAGGAAGTTGCTGTAATTTTTTTAGTGGAAGTAATTGTTGTTGGTAGAAATAGCAAGGACAAAATTCTGTATAGCCTAGACCCTCAAATTTATGGCTGTATGGTTTTTTGGGTAAATATGGTCTCTTTGTGAACCCCTAATGTTTGGAATCTAGTTAATTACTTTTTATTAAGTTAATGAAATGTGTATTATGTGTTCTGGCAATGTCTATTCTTTTCATTTTGCCCTTTGCCTTAAGCTTTCTGATCATCCAAGTTTCTCTACTGAATGGTTCGTTTGATTAGAACATGATGCTAATAAAATTATAGGTCTGTTTAATAGTTATTTTTAGTTCAAACTTAGTTCTCCTGAAACATGGGAAATCAGAAAGACAGTGGATATGCTCCCATTGTCACTCTAGAAAAAAATGGGTAATTGAAGAAGGAAGAATAGGGAAAAAGTTGGCACTCTCTTTTTCTGACATTCTCTTTTCTCCCTACTTCTTTTGAGCGGTTCTCAGCTCAGTAACAAAGCAGCTACAAAGGGGTGCAGCTGGAGCTACTAGCTACTTCTTTTTGAGGTCACCAATCTTTGGAGATCTGTTTTACTTTCAGCCAAGCTTATGAGGGTATGTCAGCATCAACTTGGCCTGGACAACCTCACCTGTCTTTCTCCTACTCTTCCTAAGGAGATGTGTTCAGGTGAGGCAGGATACAACTTTGTAGCCCTTTTAGTAGGTTCTTCTGCCTGTTTTGACCATGTTTTACTTAGGATTCTAAGTGATAAAACATGAAGATCAGTTTAGTACCTTTAATGGATGAATTAGAGACCCATGGATGCTGTCTCTCTTTTCCTTCTATTTTATCTTTCATACTATTACCTAACATGTTTTTCCTATCTGCTTATAGCCACATGACATCCTATTCCTCAGAATGCTTCACTTTAAAAAAAAATTAATAGATTTTTATCTTCTGGTCTGTATTTCAATGAGGCAGCCCTTGACTTTCTGTTCTTGGCTTCCTAAGTATGCCTTCTGTATACTTATGCCTCATAACTTCTTTTTGTTGAGCGTGCTTTGGAATCTAGACCCTTTTGAGCACATTTTTATAGGGATGGACTGCTTTTGTCTTCCATTTGGCATAAATGACTTCTTACTCAGTGACCCCAACAAAAAGGATAAGTATTTAAGGGAAAGGTATATAACAGAGGCAAACCCTTTATAGGATTGGTTGGTTTTAAATGGATAAATTTTTGATAGCTAGTATAAGGATTTTTTTAAAATGTCTAAATTTTTTTTATCCTTACCCGAGGACATTTTTCCATTTTTTTATTCAGATAGAGTGGGAGGGAGAGAGAGGAAGAGAGGGGGAGAGAAACATCATCGTGAAATGGACACATCAAGTGGCCGCCACCCGCACGACCCAACCAGGGCCGGGTACAAACTGCAACCGTGGTACATGCCTTTAGCGGGAACTGAACCCTGGTCCCTCCGGACCGCAGGCCAACGCTCCAGCTGCTGAGCCAGTCTGGCCAGGGCAGGATTTGTTTCTTTATAAGATAAAGAGATACTCTTTGATGAATTTAGCCCTAATTCTAAATTTTGTTACTTTTAAAAAATCAATCCCCTTTTGCAAAATTCTCATAGTATCTTTCCCTAGATTCCCTTAGTTCTCAATTTTCTCTCTGTTTTTCCTGTACTTAACAACTCTAGATTTCTTCTGGTCATACATAACTCTAATTACAAGTGTGTTCCTTTCTCATTGGTCCTAAATTGTGAAGGCCTTAGCATTTTACTTCATCTTTTCTTCTGAATGACCTTCCCCATACTACTATATTGGATTACTCTCTGTTCAAAGCTCTCTGAACTATTCTGGATGTATCCTACAATTCTCTATTGAATCAAGCTAAACTCCTACGTTGTACTTGGTTTTTACAGATGTATTTGAATATTTTAGTTACTTCTAAAACTAAACCATTTGTATATAGGCCTATTAGTACTTATCCTATACTCAGTTATTATTCTCTAAAGTATCCCTAGTAAATAGAACCATAAAACTTATTAAGCTTTTTCTTTTATTAATATTATTGTTCAGACATACACCTCTATATACTCATGTATTTATGTTTCTTCCTTCTCTCCATTTGTGACTATACTAGCTTCAAACCTTTGTTTTTCCATTTATTAGCTTTGAAACTTTGTGCAAAGGGGATTATTGGCTCCATAGTCTGTTAGATTCTTTATTCTTTCTTCTCTCCCATCTTAAATAAATGTTTTATAGTAACTTTCTCCCTATCTTCACTTCTCCATTTTCATGATCTCTTGAGCTGTATCTCACCATACCACTTTATTTATTTTTTCCTCTTTCTTTATTTTCCTTTTTTTATTTTCACCATACCACTTAAAAAATAAATATAGTTTTATGTGCAGTGTTGTTGTAAGAGGAAAAAAATATTCTGTCCTATGATTTTAACTTTGATCACTAGTAATTCTGCAGTACTTCAGAAACCTACCATCAGTATTTTTTAAAAAGTTATGGTTCCATTACAATCTTAATAAAATTTGATAACGTGTAGAATCCTGCAAGTGAGATAGGCAAATTTAAATTTGATTTTTCCTTTTTTTTTTTTTTTTATTATGAAAAATTTCAGTCAGAACATTCACATATTCAATACTCAGCTTCAATAAGTATTTGGTCAATCTTGTTACATATATATATATATATATATATATTTTATCCTCACCTGAGGACATTTTTTGATATTTTGTTCAGATAGAGTGGGGGGCGTGGAGGGAGAGAGAGAAACATCGACGTGAAAGGGACACATCGAGGGGTGCCACCCACACGACCCAACCAGGGCCGGGACAAACTGCAACCGAGGTACGTGCCCTTAGCAGGAACTGAACCCTGGTCTCTCCAGACCACAGGCCGACACTCTAACCGCTGAGCCAAACCGGCCAGGGCTATATTTTACTCCTTTAACATTTTCTCCTACCATGTTAGAGTATTTATTTATTTATATTTATTTTTTTATTCTCACCCGAGGACATTTTTTCCATTTTTTGTTCAGGTATAGTGGGAGGGAGAGAGGAAGAGAGAGAAAGAGAGAAACATCGACGTGAAAGGGACACATCGAGTGGCTGCCACCCGCACGACCAACCAGGGCCAGGGACCAACTGCAACTGAGGTACGTGCCCTTAGCGGGAACCAAACCCAGGTCTCTCTGGACCGCAGGCTGATGCTCTAACCGGTGAACCAAACCGGCCAGGGCTATTTATTTTATTTTTTTATCCTTACCCGAGGACATTTTTCCATTTTTTGTTCAGATAGAGTGGGAGGGAGAGAGAGAAACATCAACGTGAAAGGGACACATCGAGGGGCTGCCACCCGCATAACCAACCAGGGCCGGGGACAAACTGCAACCGAGGTGCACGCTCTTAGTGGGAACCAAACCCGGGTCTCTCTGGACCGCAGGCCAACACTCTAACCACTGAGCCATACCGGCCAGGGCCATGTTAGAGTATTGAAAAAGAAATCCTAGATATATATCATCTATAATTACATCAGCATATATCTCTAATAGATAAGGGCTCCTTTCTTATAAAAGAAGAAAATATTCTTTATTTTATAGAGTCATGAAGATTAGACAAGATTGAGGAATTTGTGGGTTTCAGGTAGCAGGTATTTGGAGATATATCAGAATTTGACAGATGTTACTTTGCCTATGAGAGCTTTGTTGATTTTGTGAATCCATTAAATTGTATCTGTTGGAACATAGACTATCTTAGCCACTTACCCTCACACACATAAAAAAATAAATAGTATGAGAACATATTAGAGGTAGTTTATGTTAAACTTTAAGAAAATTTGGGGGATGTTTATTATTGAAAAAGCGAAGTAATAAGGCTGTGGAAACACTTAAGGTGACCAGTTTTAAGAATGGATTAGAGGACTTAATTGGAGAGGAAGCCCATGTTCCAGTTTTTCTTTAACCTTAGTTTTTAGAACGATTTTAGATTTACAGAAAAAATGAGCAGAAAGTACAGACTTCCCATTTTCCCTCCCACCCCAGCTTCTGTTATTAACATCTTGCATTAGTGTGGTGCATATGTTACAGTTGGTGAACCAATATTGATACATTGTTTTTAACTGAAGTCATAATTTACATTAAGGGACTCTTTTTTTAATAACAAACACAATAGTCTTAAACACCTAACAAAATTATTTCTCAATGCCATC